AGGGTACTGTTAGCACGCATAATGGCAAGGTAGATAAATGATTCTGAAGGAGTATATATAAGTAAAAATGACCTTATACTTGAAAAATCAGGCTAGTACAATTGGTATAAATAATTTTTTAAATTCACTCAATGGAAGCAAAAGGAAAGCATATATAATAGAAAGCATGTACCATCCATTTACAACAGATTTGACTTTATTAACAATGTAATGGAGTCAAAAATGCAAACAGTATTTGAGAACTGGACATGTTAAATATTCACTTTACAAGGACAGAAAAACACTGTTTATATAATTCTGATGAGACAAATGTTTGAATATTAAAAACAAGTTAGTATTTGCCAATGTACCTAAATATAGGAAAGTAAGATTTAATATAACTGAAATGAAATGGGCAATAAAAATGATTAAAGAGTTAACCTGATGAACTTCTAAGAAAAAAATGAAATTAATTAATCTTGTTGTCTGCAAACCTAAGCAAAGGAAGCACAGAGAACCGTATGTAATAATTCTCTTCACTAAGGAATTTTACAGTAAAACTTATTTAAAGTAGAAGGCATTCCTTTGAATAATCCAGATTAAGATTATTTGGTAATTTTCATTAAAACAATAGGAACAATGATATTTCTGATGGAATGCTAAATAAACAGTTGTATACAATTATCTACTATGTGATCATTTTGTATATTCCAGGGGTCATGTGAGAGAAAAAAGTGATGAGAATCAGCTACAATAGGAATAACTGCTGAAGAGTCAAATAGCTGTTCAAAAGGCATCTTGACTATACCAAATTAGCAATGAGAGCAGATGGAGGTTCCCCCTAATTTGTTTTTGGATAAGGCTACAAAATCACTGCAGTTAGAGTTGTCCTTCCGACTAAAGACCAAAGGAAATAATAGCATGTTACTTTTCTATTCCTTAATTCTTCAAAAAACTTGTATCCTTATTTTACTTAGTGATTGTCCCAAAAAATAATATTTTACTGGTGAAATATTTATTTACTTATTGGTGTGCTTTTGTTTCACTTTGTTTTAATCCTGGGAAATGGAGACATCAGATGGTTTCAAACAAGCCTGTACAATAGTTACATAAACAAGAATTTTGTCATTCACACACTCAAAGACACATACACCCAAACATACTGCTTATTATTCTTCACAGGGAGAATTAAATTTAGCAGCAATCAAAAAATGGGTTATTTAACCCAGCAATCCCATTACTGGAGATATACATATATACATATATACACACACACATATATATATGTATGTGATATATATGTGTGTGTGTGTGTGTGTGTGTGTATATATATATATATATATATCTCCAGTAATGGGGTTTCTGGGTTAAAGCAAAATTGTACATATATATATATATATATATATATTATGTGTGTATATATATTATATAATATATATAATATACTATATATTATATATTAATATGTGTATATTGTGTTATATATTATATAATATATGTGTATATATATTATATATATGTGTATATATTATATAGAATTATATATGGAATTATATATATACACATATATATTATATATACATATATGTGTGTATATTTATAATATACACACATATGTGTGTGTGTGTGTGTGTATATATATATATATATATATATATATAAAATTCTACCAAAAAGACACATGCATTCATATGTTCATAGCTGCACTATTTATATTAGCCAAGACATGAAATCATCCCAGGTGATGATCAGTAGTAGATTGGATAAAGCAAATGTGGACATATATACCATGAAATATTGTGCAGCCTAAAAATAATGAAATAATGTCTTACAGCAACATATATAGAGCTGAAGGCCATAATCCTAAGAAGATTGACACAGGAATAGAAAATCAAATACTGCATGTTCTCACTAATAAGCGGGAGCTAAGCACTGAGTACCCATGGGCATACATATGAGAACAACAGACCCTGAGGCCTGCTGGGGGGTGAGAGTGGTTGGGTTAAAACACTACTTATCAGTTACCATGCTCGCTACTAGGGTGACAGGATCTGTACCCCAAACCTCAACATCACGCAATATTCCCATGTAACAAATCTGCACATGTATCCCCTGTACCTAAACCAATAGTTGAAATTTTAAAAAATGGGTTCTTATCTAAATGTTGAACAACGGGGCTTTCGCATTTTATGTGTGGGTCAAAAGTTGGGTGACCGGTAAAGGCAACAGTTCAAATAAGTCATTAAATGGAATATTTCTGCCACATTTATTCTTCATCATCTTTTCTTAATACTAGCTGATTTGCTCACAAATTGTAGATAGATAGAGAAATGCACAGTAACTCAAGAGTAAAATGAAACTGAAAGTTTGGCCAGCTGTTGAACACCATATACTTGTGTTATAAAGCAGTATTACTGTGTTTTAAAATATTTAGAAGGAAGCAAAGGAAACATTCCATTAAGAAAAACTAGTTTAGAGGGATCAAAAAAACTGCTGAGTTAGTTACCGTATAACCTTTCATATTTTATATGTTTGGGGCTAAATTCAATGACTTATAAGGCTTTCATGATTTGTGCCCTTCACATCTTTATAGTGTCATCTCTAGCCACTCTTAACATACACACATACATGCAGACACACATGCAGACACGCACACATGCAGACACACACACCATGATTCATCCAAACTAACAAAAACTTTATATTTTTCAAATATGTTAAGCACATGTTTTTTCTATTTAGAATGCATCTCTTTCCTTCACCTGTCTAGAAAATGATGATCCTTCAAGGTGCAGTTCAAATGCCACCTCTTATGCCAAGCATTCACTGGATGTTTCCTCACCCACTTTCCCTCTTCAGACCGAGTCAGTCACTATTCCCTTGTGTCCCTACAGTACTCATGTTCAACATGACACTGATAACAACAGCAACAACAGCTACCACTACTTCAATTAGAAGCATCATTTATTAAATAGCTAATATGTGAGGCACTGTGGCAGGTATTTTCTATACAGTCTTATCTTTACAATAACGCCTGAACATATGTACTGTTCTCCCCAGGAATAACTTGAAGCCCAGAAAAATTGAAAAGTTTGTTGAAAGTCATATGACAGCAGACATAATTTCGCTTACTCATTGCAAATCTTTACTCTTTTCATGTGGTCATTTTCCTTTTCTGTATATTTCAATTCTTGCCCTGATCATTGTACTCAATATTTTTTATTTATGAGAAGGCGGTATGTCATCTTCACAAGCCAGGCTCTGGGGTCATATTGTTTGGTTTGGAACTCTGGGTTGCAACTCCTATTAGTTGAGTGATCCTGAGTGATTTATTTAGCCCCAATGTGCATGAGTTTCTTCATCTATAAAATGAGGATAAGACTCCTACCTTATAGGGTAGCTTTGAGGATTATATAAGCTAGTATCTATAATAAGTATAATAGTACCTGCCTTGCTCTAAGTGCTCAATATCGGTTAGCTATGATTATTAGTTTATGTACCTCTCTCTCTCTCATCTAGACTGTGAACTCCTCAAAGTCAGGAATCATATCTCATTCATCTTTACATCTCTTCCACCTAGAACAGTGTCTTGTAAATACTAGCAACTTGCAACGTAGAATTACAAAAGTAAATTTATGCCAATGATTAGTTAGTATGTTGAGGGGTGGTGCAGATGGGAAGGGAGAGGAAGAGTTATGTATATGACACCAACATATGATTGTCATGAGGCACTTTTTCCTGACAGGGGAAGAAAGAAAGAACCCGTCAGTCATGGTGGACTCCATCAATCCATAATTGCACTCTTCAGGCTGGGAAGCTACAATATATGCTGCAGAACCAATTTTCCCTTGCAAAAGGGACTGAACAGATAGTGAAACCCTCAAGCGCTGAGAAGGCATGCTAAGGTGTCAGGAGTTGCTCACCAGCAGCTGCCACTGATCCCCTGCCCCTGTTAGCTTGGAGCAGCCAATTCTGCTTCTTCATGCTGTGCCCAGACCTGCAATTGAAAATTGGCTTTTGCTATATTTAATGATAAAAAAATCCCACCAGAAGGGATCTGCTCCAGGGATTAAGGTCAATGGACACTATCATGTGCTCTGCTCTCTTGCTTGCTATTGTTCTGATTATTTTTGTTCTTCCATATTCCCTGATTTCTGACTACCGTCCAAAATTTCAAACTGCCTTTACCCTCAGTCCCTCCAAACTGCGCCGTACTCTTAGTTCCTTCTGCCCTGTTGTCTGCTCTCTTGCTTTGTGGCTGACTCCCAGATATATTGACAGAAGATATTCATCTTTGTCTTGTTTCATGCTTGATGGAATTTCCTCATCCTAACCCTATGTCCAGCGCAGTAACACTGGTGACTGTCATAGCTGTAAGGAAACAACATTGTACCTCTTCTCAAATTATGGACCTGTTACACACAAAAAGTCTTATAAAAGAAGATGAGTTAAATAACAGATAACAGTTCCAGGCATAGGAATCAGAGTGAGCCAGACCTGATCCAGAGCCTCAACTCTATCATGCCCACCTCTGTGCCCTTGGGCAAGTTACTTACCTGAATAAACCTCAGTTTCCTCATTTGGATAAAGAGGCACATAATCATTCTTACCATACAGAAATATTATGTTCATTATTTAACTAATGCATGAAGTCAATAATTAATACTGTCATTATTAAAAATATATTTCAAATTACTGGTTCAGAGACGAATCATAGCTGAACATAAGACTCAAAACACTGTCATCATATTATCAAAGTATTTCATTTTAGACTTAGAAATACCTTAGATATCCAATCATTTTCTTTAAGACTTGAGGAAATTGTGAACCAGAGAGCAAGATTCAGAATTTTGTCACTAATAAATTAAAGTTTCCGTTCCCATATCTGAAATGCAGATTTTTGTCCTAGATTTAACAATTGCAATTTGAAGGGCTTCATTCAATTAATTCACATCTCCATCCATCCATCCATCCATCCATCCATCCATCCACTCCTATGAAAAATATTTATTGTAGAGTACCTGCTGTGTTTAAATCTCCCTCCTGAGCCCTGGGAATTTGCAAAATAGTCATAGTCTGTGTCTTCATGATACTTTACTTCTACTTCTTCTGCTGTTTTCTTATGTCACCCTAAGTTTCTGCTTCTGTTATTAGAAAATGAATTAATGTACTTCTGCATATAAAATGTAGTGCTTTTAGAAAGATGTAAGCAGCAGCAGATTTTGGGGAAAGAAAGTTCTCATTGGTAGAAGTGGGTCTCATAAACTGTTTTTATCAAAATGTCACTTAGAAGCCTTTAGGTAAACACATTCTTCATATAAACCTAGGGAACAGACATTTTTTATGTTTATCCTCTCCTGCCTTTGGATTTCTCAATCTCCCCTTAGTACAGTTAAGTGTGCACTAGAACCTCGAGCACATGTACACACCTAAAAAAAGTATGTATTTTATAATTTCAAATGATGCAAGAGCAGTTGCTGTGTTTTATATTGTTTTTGAATCTTAGAACTTGATAGATACTCAATAAATGTATTGTTAATAACAATAAAATGTTAAAGAATAATTAAAAACTTCTGCAAAATTGTTAATTAGTGATATTGTTAACAGCTGAAACTCATTTTTTTTACATATTACCTTTGCTTTTGTCTAGGCTAAGTGTGCTTTTGGATTAGTTAGCAGGTAGGGAAAGTACTGCCTGGTTGGCAGCTGATGGTAATCAATTAAAGGGAAGTTGTCCCCCTCATCATTTATATTTCAAAGTGCCCCATTTATGGCAATGCTAAACTCACCCAGAGAGCTCTTTGACATATTAAAATATTCAAGGTAAAATGAGTGAGAAGCTACATGGAAATTTTAGCTATGTGGAAGCCATTAAGGAGAGAATTGATGAAGTGTAGGAAAGAGTGAAGCAGCCTGAATATCTCCTGACCAGCCCAGCTTGATGTGGTGCTGGGTGAACAGTGCTGCCATAATGGAGACTCTGGTCTAGCATATAACATAAATACATGTGCAGTAGAATATGCCTAACGTTGACACAGCACTTCATCCAATCCTCCCCATGATGCTGGGAAATCAAACATATTTCCCCCTTAGTATGAAGGGGTAAACTAAGCCTTGGAAAAGTTGAGTACAATTGCTTCACATTACTTGATCAATAGCCAGTAGTGTTTAAGTGAAGCCTTATTTTAAATCATGATTTTTGACCAAAAGTCCAGTTCTATTCTTATCAAATCACAAGTGCATCAGTACATGTGACGGATTCCTTCTCAGCATGGGATATGTTGCCTCCCAAAAATGGGTTTATAATTTAAACAGAAAGGGAAACCTAACACATAAAAAATGAGAGAATAAAAAGTGGTTGTTATAAAAGTAGTATTATCTAGAGTGGTAAGATAACTCTTTATGGAAGAGAAAGATCTTGAGATGAGCCTTCAGGCATAGAGAAAATTTAAACTAAATAAAGGACAAAGGGAATGACACTCACCCTGAAGGTTCGTCAAGAGCAAATGTGTATGTACCTAGGGCTGCCATTCAGAAAATCTGTAAGTTATCTATTAGATGGACTATGAAACCATCACCCCACCCCCCAAAAAAAGCAAGAAAATTTGCTTTTGTCTTTAGCTTTAAGAACTTCCAGGACTATTATTTTGATATTTTTGGACACAAGGTCTTAAAGATTGTTTGCCTAACTGATTTTAGACTCAGTGATCCTAGCATAACAAAAGTTAGTTTATTAGACAAAGATCTGGAAGTTCTTAAATGCTTTCTCTAGGTTCTCTCATTTCTCACTGGGTATAATTCATTTATCAATGCCACAAAAAAATAAACAAATAACCCATAGTTGCTTTTGGTTTTGCAAAGAAGAATCAATTTGTATACCAGATGCTCCTCTTAAAACACAGCAAATATTTAGGCACCAAGTTTTCTTCCTGTCTTCATACCTTCTCAAATTCATCTTTCCAGAAAACCCAACAAATATTTCAAGCCAAAAATGTTGGCATTATTCTTGACTTTTTTTTTCTTATAGTCTACATCCAATACCTCAACGGGTCCTGTTGTCCCTACCTTCAAAATGTATGCAGGATAGGGCTACTTCTTGTCACCACTGCTCCTCCCACGTTAGCCCATTTAATCTGTATTAAATCGATCATTTCTTAACTACTTTCCTGCTCTGTCCTTTCCTCTCTATTCTATTCTCAACAAAGGAGCCAAAGTCATGTTGTCTAAAGGGAAATTAGTTCATTTCACTCATAAACTAAAAACCCATTAATTGCTTCCTATTCATTCAGGGTGAATGTCTAATTACTTACAATGACCAATGGATTTCTACATGACCTGCCCCTCATTACCACTGCAACTTCATTTCTTACCACTTGCTCACTCCATTCCTGTATTTTCAATACAACTTTGTACCTGCTATAAAGTTATCTAGGTATCTTCCACCTGGAGTTCTCTTCCCCTAAAATCCATATGGCTCACTCTCTCACTTTGTTTGGGTCTTTATTAAAATATCTTCTCAGTGAGACCTTCCTAATAATGCTATCTGAACGTGTAATCCACCATATACACTTTCTATCTTCTTCCTTATGCTTTTTTTCCCCTTCTTTTCGCATACCACTATCTAATACACTATCTATTTTGTTTATTACTTATTATTCTGACCCCATAAAGAGAACAGAAATCACTATGAGAGTAGAATGTCTTTATTCATTGTTTTTTTCTTTTAAATCTGGTACCTAGATCTGTACCTGGAACATAGAAGCCACTATAACTATTTGTCCAAAAGTGAGTCAATAACTTTTTAAGAGAATATGGTAGATTAATCAGGCTTATATCCCACTCAGTTAACCTCACGGTTTCACTCTATGGCAGCTTATGTTTTCGAAAGATGATAGCAACAATATCTGTTGAATCACTTGTTCTTTTATAAATAATTTTGTGACGTCCCCATCAAGACGTAGAGTGGGCTCATAACTATTTCAGCTAATATGGTCAAGATAAAACCAATGACCAGACAATATAACCCTTTGTTATATACCTCAGAAAGATTAACTATGACACTTCATAAACCCTTTCACACAGATGAAAGTCTTTCTAAGTACTCAAAGCCATGCCTCCCAAAACTTTTCCATTAAATATTAGGCCTCCTAATACTCTTGAGGGTGCTGTTCCATAGCAATCTGACAGGGGACCCTTTTAGTTCACAGATCGTTAGAATTAGAGAAAACCAGAGAAACTTTAGGAGCATAACTCAATAAATCACATGCAAGGCGCATCATCCACACCTGCACCTGATTTAAATAATGAACTGTTGGTCTTTAAGCTGATGTCATAATAGAGGTTTTGAGGGGAGGAGTGAGTGTATTTTCCATACAGGAGGAATGTAAATTGGTAAGGCTAAAATGTGGATTACAGCAGATTGTATTTTCTTAAGATGATGGCAACAATATATCCTGCCCTGCATAGTTTTCTACAACATGGTTTTGGCATTCTGTTGAAATGAGGCTGGTTCTTCAATCTAGGTGGACTTGTATTGCCTTGATTAATTACGTTTGATGGAACTGATGCTGTTTGACTTCTAAAAATATGTTATAAAAGGCAATCCAGCTTCTGTCTTGGTGTCCTGGGCTTGGAACCCTAAACTACCACATAAGAAGTCTGAGTGCCTTGTGGCCACTATACTATATGGGAGCCAAACTACATGGAGAGGTCACATGCAGTCTATCCATTCAGCATTACTCATCTTTGAATCTCCACAGCTCAGGTCCCAGACATGTGAATAAATGAGCCTTCAGATAATTCTAGCCTCCAGCCGCCAAGCCACTCCTAACCTTTAAGTCTTCCTGAAAACAGTAAAGGACAGCCACTGCATCCTTGTCTAAATTCCTGATCCCCAGAATCTGTGAGACACATAAATTGTTTTTAGTCATTATGTTTTGGAATAGATTATTATTCATAATAGCAACTGGAACTCATCTCCTTGTAATATATTTTGCAGCTCCTTACAAAAATAAGTGGAGTCCATCTTCCATCCCTTAAATGTAGGCCAAGAATGAGACAGAAGTGAAGGTGTGCCTGTTCTGAGCCTAGGCCTGAAGAGGACTTGTGTACTTCTGCTGTTGCCTCCTCCTTGAGCTTAGGCTAGGCTGATGGAGAATTATTGACCTAGACATACTTACAGCTAATTAATCATATGAAAGGGATCTGCCTGGATTACCAGAGATGCCTTCTTAAACTATAGCTGACCACAGGTGTATGACTGAGTGAGCCCCTCTAAGACCACCCCCCCCAAAAAAATGCTCAGATACAGACTCATGAAAAATAATAAATGCTTATTGTTTTAAACCACTGAGATTTTCTTGGGGGAAGGGGACTGGATGAGGAGGATTATTACATAAAAATAGCTAAATGATACAAGGGGAGAAACATCTTCCAGGTAATGGAATTCATGCACATTTTGAGTGAAAAAAGCTATGGTTGGAATGCTGGATATAAGAATCACTGTTTATTTGTGGTCAACCAGTTGTTTACAATTTTCTCATATCTATGCTTCTAAGCTCATGGTATATAGGCCAAGAGGACATGCAGGAGAAACCATTTTCTCTGTCATTCATGAATGGAATAAAATAATCATTCTCCCTCTCTCTCTACCATTCTAATTCTTACATCAAATCCAACGAACATACTTTGATTTTATAACAGCTCACTTCCTCTGTAGAATTAGACTTAACACACATAATGACATAAAGTGCTTCAAGAACAGCATTACCCTACTCCTAAGCCTAGATAGAGAAAAAATAAAAAAGAATAACTTTTAAAGTGTAGCTCAGAATTCAAATTTTATCAAAGCCAAATTGGAATATGGAAAAGATTTTTTAAAATTCTAAATTTAGGTGCAATGGTTTTCATGTGTGTTTGGAATCTGGCAACCCAGCTTTTCTCTTCCTACTTTAGAAAGGTTGCATATAAGAGGGAGAGGGAAGTTTTGTATAGTTGTAGATTAATCCTTTATGGTACCCCTCAGATAATTATCAAATAAGAATATGTGAATGTTTCTATCAGTCAAATATCAGTACAAAAATAAAATGTATCCTTTTTAAGAGCATCTATTTAATATTAAGATGCATTGTTTTCCTTGAAAAGTTAAACCTGAAATTTTATATATAGAAATAATCAGTAATTTCCTAATGTAAGAAGTTGGCCTTTACAGACCACAAAGTTTCTATCCTTAATATATGAATGATACAAGAAAGAAAATTAAGTATGTGAATGTTTTGACATATGAAGATAATGATGCAATATAAAGATAGTAATTCAGTAAAAAAATGAACACTCAGAATTTGAAATGGACCTCTTAATGTTTTTCTAAAGATGGTATTTTAATGAAGATTTTATAAGAATACAAATAACCTGCA